TCTCCCTTAATAATGTGGAGGGTTGTCGCTGGCCTTTCCTGATTGGGTGTTGCAAGGGTGGTTACTCCTGCCTTGGGCAATGTGTAACTACCTGATAGTTTCGGGGAAGCTGGAACTCAGGCCTTCTAGTTTAGAAGGGAAACTTAAAGCCTGTCAGGGAGTCAGTTTGGTTTAGATGTTTAGACTTATGTCCTTACAGAGAGAGAGGACAGGAACCCAGACACACTAAACATAAACTTTCACCCTTATTATTTATGATATTTTCTAATTTTCTCCTAAAAATGATGTAAGGGGCATCATGAGAAAACTGACATACCACTAAAGATTCAGTTGTTAGTGAATAATTCCTACACTTAGGTCTTTGATAATACATAAAAGTTGTTGAAAAGCTTTCCTTCATTTTTTCAGTCAGTGACAGAAATGGGATTGTTAAAATTTGGCAGAGTTGTTACTTCTTTGTTTTTTAATTTTTTAAATGTGTTTTTTAAATTTAGTTTTGAAAGAGAGAGAGACGGTGTGAGCAGGGGAGGGTCAGAGAAAGAGGGAGACACAGAATCCGAAGACAGGCTCCAGGCTCTGTGCTACTGTCAGCACAGAGCCTGATGTGGGGCTCGAACCCACTAACTGTGAGATCATGACCTGAGCCGAATTTGGACGCTTAACCGACTGCACCACCCAAGCGCCTCGAGTTGTTACCTCAATAATGATCTTTCTTTATGAGGTGTCAGCCATTTTTTTCCCCTTGGGAGTATGGAAAATTATGACTAGAGATTCTTTCCTAATGCCAACATGATACTGGGAAAAATACTACTCAAGGCAAATTGTACATCCTACTGATGAATGAAGGGTGTTCAAGTGGAGAAAAGGGAGGCAGCGAGGGAAACATGGCGAGATAAGCTCAATGTATTAGGTGTACCCAAGGCAAGCGGAACTACAAAGAAACAAGTAGGGGTGGAATAAGGTTCAAGAGTTGGCGAGCAGAGTCACGGGGTCAGTACATTTACTAGGGTTGAAATACAGAAAAGCTTTCTGAGAAAAGGAACATGAAGAGAATTTATAGATGAGAAACCTATGAGTTGAGATGGTACCAGCCTTGTAATCTAGGAAAACTCCAACACAATGGGGAGGAACAGACAAGGCTCGGATTAAGACGAAGGGGTCAGAGAAGGAGGACTTCTCAAAAGCATTATATTCAAGTTGATTCGCAATGCTGAAGGCCGGATCCGGCAGGTCCAGGGGTCCGTGAAGGATGGACGGTGTTGGTGAGAGAGAATGAGAGAGCCCCGAGATTCTTTCTGATCACCAGGCAGGCATCTCTGCTCTGACTGGGGCTCAACTAAGTGTTTTGGAGACGGCACAGAAGTGGCATTTGCCTTAGAGAATGATTTCTGACAACAAACTTCTTTGATATGTAAGAGTTTCCCAGAACATAGATTTGTAGAAGAGTCATGCATAACTTTTATCAATAGCAGTTGAGGTAAGGGATTTAGATGCTTATCTTATGGGGAAGCAAGGCATCTTTAGCATACCAGACAATGTTTTTAGCATAAGAGGGTGAAGTTACTTCTCTGTGAGCAGGGGTCAAAAACAGGTCTTTCAGGAGATACCTTTGCTCTCATAATCACAAAAAGAAGTTTCTCAATAGGTTCCTTCACAGGGAGTAGTTAGCATATACAAAGCCAGAAAATGCTTCAGGCAGAAACAAATGGGTGGGGGTAGATATTTGCCCTTAACTTTAAATTAGGCTCTTTGCCTCAGGGCCAGACTCAAGCCCCCTTTATTATGTAAGTCTTGGATCTGCAAGACCCCTAGGAAGAGCCTTTTGACAATCATCTTTGGAAAGGCAAGGACATGCCTTTTCTTATGATCAATCTGTGTGGGGAATATAGGTCTGATCTGGAATATTGTGAGGCCTGGTCAATACCAGCAGCCTCATTTACAACATGAGCCAGTGGTAGCAGAAGGAGATACCAGTTTCCTTGCTGTGACTGCCATCCAGAGAGGCTGGTGCAGCTCCCAGCACCATAACCCTCTAATGCAGTAGCCATATTAGGTTGATACCTAGAGTAAACATGATGATAGTTTTAAGTATGTCTAACATGAAATTTCATATTGGATTCTGGGCATGTTCCATCATATACCCCCAAGATCAAACTCCCAGTGATGTTTCCCCGATCTGATAACCAGGGAGCCTAGAACCCCATAATCGCTGTTACTTGCATTATTTGACTTCCAACAGCATACATATCTCACTTGTCTTCATTCTGTAGAACTGCCAAAATATGTTGTATCCGGGGGTCAGTATGAAATCACATGAGCTGCAGAAAAATTACAGGGTTGGGTGAGGAAGATAACATAGATTTACTTGTGATGCAGTGAGAGGGATCTGATCTCGGGAATAACTGGAGTGGGAACTATGAAGAAATCTGTCTTCGAGGAGAACCATAACACTGAAGAAGCCTAACATGTATGTATGTGTTAGAGGGGAAATATGGGTCTTGGTACATGAGACTGACTAAGAATGAAAAATTCTGAAAGGTGATTAGAACAAGTGGTTTGATGACACTGATTTCTGCTTACCTTGCTAGCGCTACACATGTGTCAGCTCTCAGATAATAAAAACAAAAACAAAAAAACCATAATCAACATAAGCAAGGGAGTCATCCCTGGAATCTCTTTCCCCTGAAGATCAGGGGCACGACTGGGAACGATGGTGAGGTAGTGGACTGTGAAGGAGAATATGAAGCAGACACCTGGCCACTCCCCATGCAATAGGACCATATCAGCACATGACATCCAGTCTTCTTTGTCTGCTTCTCCATACCCAGAAATTGTGCCCTTTCCCCCACTTAGCCCCTGCCATCACAAGTCTCCCGCAGCCACCCACCTGCTCTAACACTCCTCACCTTTTTCAAATGCTTGCATTATCTTTTTCAGATCAGGACCTCGGGAAGACACGTTCCTTTGTTCCTTGAGAAAAGTTTTCGGTTTTTTCAGACTCAAGGCCTCACTCCTAGGGATGACAAAAATTGAACCCCACACTTCTGACTTTTCATCCCTCTAGAATGACGATTTTCTATCTTCACCCTGTTGAAGAGCCTGAAGCCTGGAGACTCTAAGAAAGAACAGGAGACTCCTGACTTTGGAGCCAGGGAAAAGTGTTGCCCTCTCAGTTGCCCCTTAGGACCTTAGGAAGGTCTTGACCTCTCAGAGGCATAGTTTCCAAAATTAAATCATGAACCTCTCCCTCTCTAAATCCTAGAAATCATATGAAATTATATGAAATAATGGATAAAACAAAGCAAAGTTGTGGTATCTTTAAAAACACTTAATGTATAGAAAAGTCACTGCATGGATGTGAGTCCCAAGGCAGATGATCAGAAAGTGTGGTTGCAGAACTTGGCTCCTGGGATTTGAAATAGACAAGTGTGGGAATATTGTCTGGGGAAGACTAAGGTCTTTAAACTCTGCTTCACAGTAAGAAAGCTCTCAGAATAACATCTGAGCTTTCAAGTTTCTGGGAAAGTTTACAAATGCTTGAAACAGAAGACATGAGCACCAAACTCATGATGGCCTGAATTTCATGCGTTAGGAAAAAGCTCGATGCTATCAGGTAGGTGTGCAAAATTTAGACACAAGGATGCCACCTTTCCATTCCAGCTTCTAACACATGTGATCAAGATGGACCACTTGTGTGTATGAGGCCAAAATATTCCTTGAGATTTAAGTCTGTTTTTGGAAATCTAAACCGAGCCACATAGAAGGTCTCTTCTAGTCCCAGGACAGACATTTAAATATAAGGGAGATGTCTCCAACTCTGGGTGCTTGACAGATAAAGAAGCTATGACTTTTCCAGGATAAGCCAAGCGCCTAAGAAATATGAGAACCTGAGTTAGATATGAGCATTAAAGGTGAATAAAAGCTATCAAGTCACAAGGGCCTGCCATGCCTTAGCCTCAATCCTGCTACTGACCCAAACTGTGTGACTTCCCACCACCCAAATTCTCTACCACAGAGCCTGATGCATTCTCAACAGTTACAGAACACTTAAATTACAATTTGTGGACAGAAATTTCACATAAAACTACACATCCAAATTGTCCTGCTGTGACAAATGTTTTATTCTAATTGATCATCACAGAACTCTAATGCCGTTAAGCCTCTTTCACCATTTCTGATCCCCCACACATACCTTTCCACAAGGTGATTCACATCCTAGGGAGAAAAGGGAAAACATGAGTCAAGGGGTAATAGGCCCTCCCCACTTACAAAGTGTTATCACATCCCCACCAACCCCTACGGTGGGAATAAAGATGGTCCCAATGTGAGAGCAAATAAGTAAAAATAAGGCCCAGACATGTGAGGCTGTTAGATTTCCTAAAAGGTAGAAACAGCTTTGAGCCTTGCAGAAGGAAAGCATGATGCCTCTAGTATCTGGAGATGAGACATCTTTATGAGGAAAACAACAGTTCCATAATTTTTTCCCAAAGTGCATGAGATGATATGAATAATGCATGGCTCTTTCATTTATTCAATAGAAACCTAAAGTGATTTGCTATTATTTGCCAAACATCAGGGCAGGCTTTGGAGAATGAAAGATGAGTAAATAATCATATTCCGCAAGAGGTTTACATGCCTTTGCTGAGGATACAAGCAATATATAAAGGTAGGCATTTTTCAAGTCTCTCTCTTCTCATTTCACACTATCTGTAAGTGACCTTGTCTACTCCCTTAAGTTCAACACACACATATGTCCACTTGATTTCCTACTCTTTGCTTTTACTCAGTTTTGTCTCTTAAACGCAGGTTAATGATTTCAGTAATAAACAGGCCACAGAAACTAGCAGGTTAGGATGTGCAATACATACCTTACCATTCACCAACGAAAATGTCTCCTCTCTTATACTCCATTGTTCATAAGGTTACCAATATCCATTCAGTCACTGTCCTAAATATTACAATATTTACTTGAAATGCAGTCTCCACAAAGAAATGCAGTCCACATTCTTTTTTATTATTTTAATCTTTTAATTTTTAATTTATTTTTAATTTTTAAATGTTTTTGAGAGAGAGCGAGCAGGGGAAGGGCAGAGAGAGGGAGAGAGAGAGAATCCCAAGGAGGCTCCATGCTGTCAGAGCAGAGCCCGACACAGGGCTCGATCTCACAGACTGTGAGATCATGACCTGATCCAAAATCAAGAGTTGGATGCTTAACCAGCTAAGCCACTGAGGTACCCCAAGTTTTTATTTAAAATTTCAGTTGGCTGGGACTCCTGGGTGGCTCATTTGGTTAAGCATCTGACTTCAACTCAGGTCATCATCTCACAGTTCATGAACTCTAGCCCCACATCGGGATCTGTGCTGACAGCTCAGAGCCTGGACCCTGCTCTAAATTCAATGTCTCCCACTCTCTCTCTTTGTCCCTCCCCTGCTTGAGCTCTGTCTCTATCTCTCTCTCTCAAAAATAAACATAAAAAATTAAAAATAAAATAAAATTTCAGTTGGTTGACATACAACATAATATGAGTTCAGTTCAGTCCACTTTCTTAACAATTTTTGGCCGTCTGATTTTATCATCACAGATATTGTTTTATTTGTTTGAACAAATATCTACCAATATATCTGATTTCCTTTATTCCAGACTTCACTTCCCTCATGTCACCAAAAACTAGGCCAACAGGTAGGTCTACAAGGGCCATAAAAAAAAAAGGTATTAGGGCTTTTGTGTTGTATATGAAAAAACCAAAACTATAGTAAGTAGAGAAAAGGATCTGGGGGGCCTTTATAACTTTAATCAAAGCTTAATTTTGAAGCTCAGACCCTGTCATCAGGATCCTATGTCCTTCTCCAAATTCTATTTATTCCCCCTTTATTGACTTTATTCTCAGTTCATAAAGGAAACATGAAACTCCAGAAGAAAAAAGAACTTCTCTTCTCAGTTAAAACAAAAATACTTCTTTTTTTTTTTAATTCTTTTTTTTTTTTTTTTAATTTATTTCTAGGAGAGAGAGAGAGAGACAGCGTGAGCAGGGGAGGGTCAGAGAGAGAGGGAGACACAGACTCCGAAACAGGCTCCAGGCTCTGAGCTGGCAGTCAGCACAGAGCCTGACGCGGGGCTCGAACCCACGAACCGCGAGATCATGACCTAAGCGAAAGTCGGACGCTCAACCGACTAAGCCACCCAGGCGCCCCAAAACAAAAATACTTCTTATGTCTGCATGGCACTGCCCCGCACTGGATCAGGTGCCGATATTAAAAGTATCACTGTATTGTAGCTAGAAAGGAAATGAAGCAATGTTGGAGGAAAGTTCCCATATATTATTGGAAGTAATTTAGTGTTAATCTGAAGTAGACCGTGATAGGGTAAGACGCATGCTGTAATCACTTGAATAACCACTAGGGGGAAAAAACTAAAACTAAAACCAAACAAAATCCCCACATAAATAGGAAAACTTAAAATTTTACACTAGAAATATTTGTTTAACTCAAACAAAACAGGTCAAGGAAAAACAGAACAGTGAAAACTACAGGCAACATATGGAAAGAGAAGAGCAATATGATAAATTTAAATACAACCACATCAATAATTGTATTAAATGTTACCGCTTTAACATCCCAATTGAAAGGCAATGATTACAGGGATGCTTGGTGACTCAGTTGGTGAAGCAACCAACTCTGGCTTAGGTCATGATCTTGTGGTTCCTGAGTTCGAGCCCCATATCAGGTTCTCTACTCTTGGGTTAGAGCCCATGTTGGATCCTCTGTCCACCAATCCCCTTCCCTGCCAACCCTCCAGCCCCACCCCACTCTCTCTCTATCAAAAAATAAACATTAAAAAAAAAGGCAACGAGGGCGTCTGGTGCCTCAGTCGGTTGAGCATCCAGCTTCAGCTCAGGTCATGATCTCCCAGTTCATGAGTTCAAGCCTGGCATCAAGCTCTATACTGATAGCTCAGAGACTGGAGCCTGCTTCAGATTCTGTGTCTTCTTCTTTCCTACTCACACTCTGTCTCTGTCTCTCTCTCTCAAAAACAAACATTAAAAAAAAAACTTTTTTAAAAAGGCAATGATTGGGGCACCTGGGTGGCTCAGTCGGTTGAGCGCCTGACTTTGGCTCAGGTCATGATCTCTCAGTTCATGGGTTCAAGCCCTGCACCCAACTCTCTGCTGTCAGCACGTGGAGCCTGCTTTGGAACTTCTGTCCCCTTCTTTCTCTGTTCCTGCTCCGCTTGTGCTCTCTCTCTCTCAAGGATAAATAAACATTTAAAAAAAGGCAATGATTATTGTCCAGGATAAAAACAAGATTCAACCATTGCTATCTACAAGAGACGTATTTTGGATCCAAAGACACAAAAACAGCAAAAAGACAGAAAAATATATACCATGCAAGTAGTAATTATAAGATAGCTCAAGTATCTAAATTAATATTAGACAAAATAAACTTCAGACAATAATTACTATGAGAGAATGAGAGACAAGTTTCAGAATGATAAAAGTTTCCATATATCAAGAAAGTACATAACAATGATAAATGTTTATATACCCAGCAGCAGAGCTTCAAAATACACAAAGCAAATATGAAAAGATTAAACAAAACAGACAACTTAGTACTTCTAGATTTCAATAGCTCATTCTCAATAACTGATAGAAGAGCTTGTATGAAAATCTGTAGATACAGAAGACATGGTTGATGGGGCGCCTGGGTGGCTTAGTCGGTTAAGCGTTCGACTTTCGCTTAGGTCATGATCTCGCGGTTCGTGGGCTCGGGCCCTGAATCAGGCTCTGTGCTGACTGCCAGCTCAGAGCCTGGAGCCTGTTTCAGTCAGTGACTCCCTCTCTCTCTGACCCTCCCCTGCTCACGCTGTCTCTCTCTCTCTCTCTCCTAGAAATAAAAACATTAAAAAAAATTTAAAAAAAAAAGAAGACATGGCTGATACTATCAACCAACTTGAGCTAACTGACATCTATAGACAATTATATCTAATAAATGCAGAATACACATTCTTCTCAAATTCATTTAGAAAAATTTTCTGGACATACACTATTTTAGTCCATAAAACAAGTATCAATACATTTAAATACTGAAATAATAAAATATGTTTCTGATTGCAAACAAATTAAATTTGAAATCCACACCATTAGAAAAAATGAAAAATCAAGTACCATTAAATTAAATAGCAAACTTTCTAGGCATTTACCCAAAGAATACAAAAATATTAATTCAAATGGAAACATGCACCCTAATGTTTTTATAGCAGCATTATCTACAATAAGCAAATTTTTGTAACAGCTCAAGTGTTCATCAACTGATGAATGGATAAAGATGTGCTATTTTTACTGTGGATTTTGACTCAGCCTTAAAAAAGAATGAAATTTTGTCATTTGGAGCAACATGGATGGAGCTAGAGAGTATTATGCTAAATGAAAGAAGTCAGTCAGAGAAAGACAAATATCATACAATTTCACTCATCTGTGGAATTTGGAAAACAAAAAAAGAAAAAGAGAAAAAGGGGAAAAAGAGAGAGGCAAACCAAGAAACAGACTTTTAACTATAGAGAACAACATTGAGGGGCCAGGGGATGGGTTGAATAGGTGACGAGGATTAAGGAGTGCACTTGTGATAAGCCCCTGCTGATGTATGGAAACTTTGAATCACTATGTTGTACACCTCAAACTAATGTAACACGGTATGTTAACTAACTGGAATTTAAATACAAACTTAAAAAAATAAGAAAATAAACAGCACACTTTCAAATATCCCAAGTTAATAAAAAAAAATCACAAAAGAAATTTGAAAATAAGTTGAACTGAATGAAAATAACTAAACAACCAAAATATAGGGAATATACCTAAAATAATGCATTTTTTAAAATGTTTATTTATTTTTGAAAGACAGGGCACAAGCAGGAGAGGGGCAGACAGACAGAGGATCAGAAGCGGGCTCTGTGCTGATAGCAGACAGCCCGATGCAGGCCTTGAAGTCACCAGAGAGATCATGGCAGATTTTAAATGCTTAACTGACTGAGCCACCCAGGTGCCCCTAAAGCAATGCATTGATATCATTAAATGCTATATCAGAAAAGGTGGTCTCAAATAAGTAATCAAAGTTTCTACTTTAAGAAACTAGAAAAAGAATGGCAAACTAAACCACCAACACACACATACTCACATTCATGGCTGCATTCACATACACACACACAAAGGAAACAATGAAGATAAAAGCAGAAACAAATGACACAGACAGTTTAAAAAAAATAAAATCACTGGAATACTAGTTGATTCTTGAAAGAAAATCAATAAAAATGACCAAAGACAACTAAGCTGACCAAGAAAAGAAAAGAAAAAAAGCACACCACCAAAATCAGGAATAAAAGAGGGGACATTACTGTGTGTGTCGTAGAAGCTAGAGGGATTATAAGAGATTATTATGACTACCTTAATGTCTATATATGAGGCAACTGAGAGTGGACTGATCTCTATAAAAACATATATAACAAAAACTGACTTTAACACTGCAAAAAATGTAAATAAACCTAAGACATATTTTTAAACCTTTCAAAAAAGAAAAGCCCAAAACGATATGGCTTCACTGCTGAATTCTATTGACTATTTTAAGAATAAGTAATACTACTCCTCCACAATTTATTTTTTGTTTGTTGGCTTTTGAGAAAATAGAAAAGGAGGAAGAAAAAAATCTTTGTTCATTCTGAGGGAAAAAAAGCCATAGGATGTGAAGTTCATTGGTCTGTGCCCAAGCTGAATCAGGAAGAGGTTCCAGTTAAGTCCTTAGCACTAGATCACAGGTAACAGTGACCCATAGACCATCTGTGGATACAATCCAAATTCTCTCCACAGTCAGATGTCTGCACTGCACTTGATACATAAATATGCAGTTGTCCCTTGTTATTTATTCCTATAAGCTCTGACAGAGCTGCAGGAAAGGGGTACTCTGTAGGGTCAAAGGAACCTTAGAGTCACCCCCAGGAAGAGCAAAGCAATATGGGAAGGAAGGAAGGAAACTTGGCTTTCATTTTTCTCAAGTCTCAGATGCTGGTGTTTCCTCCCGAGTCTTACCTGCAGCATGTCCATTGTTGACCCCTGCAGCCGACGTTCCAGATCTGAGATGAGGCCCATCACCAGCTGGCTCTGCTGGGTCAGTTCATCCTCGGCGGCAGCCAGGCTACCAAGAACAGCCTTCTCCTCGCTTTCCAAATTCTGCAGCTCCCTCAGCTCCTCACACTCCAGGATGTCCTTCAGTTTTTTAAACTGTGCCTGGATACTTTGTCTCTCAGTTTGCAATTGTTTCTTCAGGAGTGAGAAAGAGAGACAGATACTTGGGCTATCAGGCAGGGACTAGGTGCCAGAAACAGAACTACTTTCTTTGGAAAGTTCTCACAGGGAAATGAACTAGAAGGCAAGAAGCAATTCTTGGGAAAGCTGACTTTTCCCATCATATTTTCTCCACCATGTGAGAATATGGCTTCCCAAGTTCGCATTGTTGAGGCCAACCCTGAGCCCAAATGGGATCTCTGGGTGTGGTTCAGCTTACACACAGCTGTCCAGGACAACCAAGTCTCCTCACATTATTCTTGACCCCCACCCCTTGCTCTTGGCTGAAAGTTGAACAATGCACACAGAACCACGGGTGACTGCTAAATGTCTTCCCCTAGAAAGGTCAAAGACTCAAAAGTCTCCACAGAAATGTAACACAGAATTTACTAGCCATCTTCTATGTGAATACCTCCTTCTAAACATCTGCGTTCATTTAATTTTTTAAAAATATTTTTTATTTATTTCTAGGAGAGAGAGAGAGACAGCGTGAGCAGGGGAAGGTCAGAGAGAGAGGGAGATACAGACTCTGAAATAGGCTCCAGGCTCTGAGCTGGCAGTCAGCACAGAGCCTGATGCGGGGCTTGAAACCACGAACCGTGAGATCATGACCTAAGCGAAAGTCAGACGCTTAACCGACTAAGCCACCCAGGCGCCCCACATCTGTGTTCATTTAAAACAGGTTCACTTTTCAGCCCCAACCCTTATCCGGGAAAGGATAAAGAAGAGAATCAATCAAATGACTTTTGGACACATAACTATCAGGGAACAAATAGGAAAGCAGCTCTTTGTGACTAACACCCAAGGTCCTGTCTAGATTTTTGTCAAACTCCCTCAGGAAGTATCTCCTCCTACCTTCCAGTAAGTTCTCTTTTCTCCGATAACAGCTTCCAACATCCTAGCTTCCTGCTGGTCTTCCTTCAGCTTCCACAGAGCTGCCTGGAGCTTCTCCTGTGAGACAGGAATCACACCACAGTCAAGCTATGAGACTTCTCGGCATCAGCATAGAGGATAAAGGGGTGGGGGTGGGGGAATCAGGCTGATTTTCAGAGACTAGAGTTTATAGAACCAGTGAAAACAGCAATTAGAATCCATGACTTGGAAGAAAACTTGAGGTGGTGAAATGTGTTCTCTAAGACTCAGGTGATGGATGTCACCATCCCCTCATCAAAAGAAGACTGATGCTGTATGAGAAGAACAAGTCAATCCTGCAGCGAGGAAAGAAATTATGCCTCAATCTACCCTCCTGTTCAATGGAGTAATGAGAGTCTGTCTTGGGCACAAAATCTCCCCCTGTCTAGCTTAAGGTATAAAAGTATCTACTTTTGGCCAAATCTGTGCTGTAGGCTTACAAGAAGCTGTAATTGAATGGAATGGCCAAACATATTCTTCAGGCAAAAACCAAAAACAAACAAAAAAAACTGTCCTTCAGGTCTTGGAAGGTGAGACTAGAAAGATAAGACATCACAGGTTCGGGCACAGGTCTCAGGTCCATGGTGACAAGGGAACTAAAGCTGAATGTGAAGTGGAGACTGCTCATCAAGTCCTGTTTTCTGCCCTGTTCTTCCTCTATCCTGGCCTCTTACCTGGAACTCACGGGCAACCTCCTCCACGAGGACCGTGTGGTGACCGCGGTGCTCCTGGGACTGCTCGCAAAGCCAGCAAATGACCTTCCCATCCCTCTTACAGAAGAGCAAGAGTTTCTCTTCATGGCGCTCACAGAGGTTTATCTTTTGCCCCTCTTCGGGGCTCACCTTGACCTCTCTGAGCCGCTCCACTATGTTGGCCACGTGCCAGTTAGGCCGCAGCTCCCCAGAGCAGTAACTGATTCGGCACACGGGGCAACTGCTCTCCCCTCCATGGCTTTTCATGGACTCCTTGGTCTTTGCGGTGATGCAGGCCTGGCAGAAGCTGTGGCCACAGTCCAGGCTCAGGGGTTCTGTCAGGAGGTCCAGGCAGATGGGGCAGGTCACCTCCTCCCGCAAACTCGTCACCAATTCAAAAGCCATAGCAGCTGGTCCGTGTCCTGACTTCTGTGGCTCTTCTCACTCACAGATCCCTGCACAATTGGGAAAGTTAAAAGGGGGGAAAAATAAGAAAGGTAGGAATAAAATTATACTAATTTCTCAAAAATCAAGGACAGGCCAAAATCATAATAGTGAAGGACAAGAAAGAAAAGATGGAGAAACAAGGAAAGGAGCTTGGGGACCTGGTAAAAAGGACTTTTCTTAATAATTTCAAATGCGTTACTCCTGGTTTATGTGACATGACCAATCCCATATTTATCTGCAATGACTGTTATTTTCCCTTTCCTTTTACCAAACAAAAAGATAACCTGAAGCCTCTTCTACCAAGACCCTTGTGTGGCCTACCATCTCTCCTGCTTTTTCTTTGCCATCCCTAAAACACACCCTCACTGGAAAAAGCACCCATCCACATATGCCTTTGGGTCTTAATACCTGTACTTCACTCAACACAGATACTGCCCCTGACATTGGAATGACTCACTCTTATACTTTGGTAAGCTCTCAACTCACCTGCTCTCTTATCAAAAAAATCCTGCTCTAACTTACTGACATTGTAACCACTGCCATCACTTGCTATAAGTTTGCATTGATTTCTCCTATTATCGTGACATAATATATGACAATGTCTTTGTGTACATGGTAAAAGCAAACCCTTCATCAGATGTGCGAACAGAAATAGTAAGTGACTTACAAAGATCATTTATCTCCAAAAGAGAGTTGGGATCAATTTAATGTATTCAAAGCCCTCCTACAGAGGTCTGTCTCCTACCCCACTGAGCTAATCAAAGGCAAACAAAGGTAACTTGCTGGAGAACAATGGGAAGTGTGGGAATGAATAGATCCAGACCTGCTGAGAGGGTCAGGGAAGTCTAGTGTTTCTAACTAGTGAGATCTCAGCGTGGCCAAGAAATATGCCCAAGGATGTTAACAGGAGCCTAAAGTGTGTATGTATGTGGACAGTGGGGAGGGAGATGGTATAAACTCATAAGATGGTATATACTCATAGGATCATATAATCAGATACCTGAAAAAAATAGAAACATAAATGAAATGTCAGTCTTGAGAAAGAAGTCTCAAAATATTGGGCAAAGTTATTCAATCAATTATTAATAATGATGAATTAATTGCTAGCAACCTGACTAATACCCATAAACACCAAAATGAGTCTAAATAGAGGGTTTAAACCCAAATAAGCAAGGGAAAGAGAGAGAGAGAAATCAAGAAACAGACTCTTAACTATAGAGAACAAACTGATGGTTCCCAGAGGGGAGGTGGGGGTGGATGGGTTAAACAGGCAACAAGGATTAAGTAGAGCACTTGCTATGATGAGCAGTGTGTTGTATGAAGTATTGAATCACTATATTGTACACCTGAAACTAATATAACACTATATGTTAACTATCTTGGAATTAAAATTCTAAAAAACAGGGGCGCCTGGGTGGCTCAGTCGGTTAAGCGTCCAACTTCAGCTCAAGTCATGATCTCGCGGTTCATGGGTTCAAGCCCCACATTGGGCTCTGTGCTGACAGCTAGCTCAGAGCTGGAGCCTGCTTCTGGTTCTGTGTCTCCCTCTCTCTCTGACCCTCTCCTGCTCACGCTGTCTCCAACAAATTCTCAAAAAAATAAATAAAACATTTTTAAAAATTCTAAAAAAGAGGGTTTAAACCACTATGTACTTGGTATTCACCTTGAAAGAAATAATAAATTAAATAATAGGACACACACACACACACACACACACACACTGCGTGCACAAGAAGATGTGGAAAACACTACTAGAGAGATGTACATGCTGTTGGGCAAATAAATAAGGGCTTATCCAGAATTCCAGCTTGAAAACAGAAGGGCTGAACTGAAAGCCGAAGAAAATGAGGGAAAGACGGGATGAGATAGAGGACACATGTACTGGGTAGAGGAAGTGATCCGGTCACAGAAGATCTGTCACCTTGTAGGAGTTTTAAAATGCCAGCATGGCTGGTGTGCAGAAAACTGCTAGGCCTTTGACATCACATGAGCCTTCAGTGACCATCAAATATAACGCTCCCCAGATTATGCAACATTTAGGGAATCTTTTCCAAGAGCAGGGAGAAATTATCAGTGTTTTCTCATCAGAGAAGACTGGGGACATAATTAGCTCTGTGCTCGGGCCGTGAGAGGTTAGGTGGCCCCAGTGTGGAACGAAGAAGGTCAGTTAGGATGCATACACAGCTGCTCAGAGCAGGATGATAATAACTCAAGGAACAAGGTGATGAAGGAAATGGAGGGCAGCCAATAAGAGTGAGATATAAGATGTGGTAAAAGAATAGGATTGGGAATTGGGAGCAAAGGGTTAACACCAGGCTTGGGGTCTTCCTTCTGGTAAAAGTAACGTTGGCTTACTCTTCTAGTAGGTACTTTCTTGTTTGTTTTTCTGGGAAACCTGCTGGGTTACAATAAAGTGGCAGGTCAGTGGCCTTGCAAGGCCACAATATTGACAGTAAAAAAATCGCTTGATGTATAAAGTGCATTTAGACTAGGAAGACTTTATACAGATTGTAAAGGCCGGTTGGTAAGCAGAGACTCACTTTTCACAAGGGGATTGTGACTCTTAGGGCCAAATAGGTCTTGGTTAGGCCCCTGGAAGCTGTACTCGTGGGATTTCACTGGGTGATCAGCCTTTGTAGCACTAGGCTTATGTACAGCAGGCTCGCCCACATCCACCTCATTTGGTTTCTTGAGAAGCTGAGATGCCAAAATAGCTCCTGTATCACTGCAAGGGCCACTGCAGATGGCTCACCGGAAGCAGCCATGCCAGCATGCTGTGTCTCCTGTCCTCCAGCCCCCAGCTAAACTAAATGAACCTGGCAGATTATGTCTTATCAGGCTGCAGGGGTGGAAATGGTGACCCAAAGTGGAAACTCCTGCCGGTGGTCAGACACTACAACTACTGCTGGTGGGTGTCACATAGTGGTAGCACAATGATCCTCACTCTCTGACCTGAACTCAATATAGCCCTGTGGCCACAGTCTAGATTCAGGGGTTTTGTGTGGAGCTCCAGGCAAATAGGGGTATGTGGCAAAAAGCAAAGAAAGGGAAGATCTCAGTATAGATTAAGGTTTTGATGGTTGCCAAGGTTTAATGGTACAAGAAAGATCTCCAGTATGAGACAACCAATATGGTTTCCCTTTGCTCCACACAAGGGAGGGAAAGGTTATCAAGGCAGCATAGAGATAAACTTAAATCTACGAAAATTGTCCACTCATGCCAAGGTCATCATGCACAAAGGGAGCCTGATGAGAATAAGGCTGACATGCACTGCAAATATAATCCAGCTAATGGTACACATACTGAAAATGGTTCAAAGACCATATGAAGTAAGCCCCCAGATGGACAGACCATGGGTCAGATGAGGCTCTGACGAATAGCAAGATCAGAGGTAGATATTTTATCAGAAGTAGATATTATATAATACATACCTATTATATGAGAAAATCTACCCATATTACATGATAATATCTATCCAAGCTATGTTATGAACATGGGGTGAGGCCTCCAATGATTTCTCATCCCATTCAAGATCCAATCAATGCAGAGAACCATCAGGAGCTTTCTGTAGGGAGGAGCAGCAGGGCATGCATTCTGCTGTGGGTCTGTGGGTTTTTTTCTCAATGGGGCTACAAGGAGCCAATGACAAAGCAGCTGCTGTCACCACTGACAGAGGAGGAGGAATGGGCAAAGGGACTGGAGTTCCCATCCCAAAGGATGAGCCCACTGCGACTTAAGCAGTGGTCCAAGGGCTCCACGGCAATCTGGGAGACAGATATGGGAACAGGAATGGTACCCGCGGGATGGAACGCCCAGGTCAGCTGGCTGCCATAGGCGTCAGGAAGCTACTCGTGGGTCTTCCCCGTACACCTGAGCTCATGAGAATACAAACTCAAAATGTTCCAGAGGTGACAGCTAAGGACAAGCAAGAATGACATAAAAAGACAGTAACTAGGTAAAAGTCCAAACAATAAAGGTATACACAAAATTTAATTATTTTGTGACTCAACCAAACTGTTTCTCTAAGTATGATGAAGCCACAAATGACTGACGTTACATGGGAAAGAGTCACTTTTCCTAAACAGACTAGGAAAAGGAAATTGTGCTATGTTTTATTTGCCAGGTAGTCATCTAATAGTATTTAATATAAGCTCCTTATAAAACTAGCAAAATGAAAAGGGAAGCAGAAAAGTAAACAAATCAATTCTAAAACCCCGTGATCACTGGCATGATAGAGGTGTAGCTGTTTGAGTTCAGAAGACAGGCGCCAGTCGCTGACCTGTGGCAGAGATGGCCGCAAGGAATATGGAGCAGAAGTATAATCTCCAAAGTCAACTTTGATAAAGTGACCCTTGGTCAGATGAAAGGTTGGTGGGGTGAGAAAAGAGATCTGTCTGGTGTCCTCCACACATCTGAGTAAGGGGGTAGCAGCTGTCCCTTCTATCAGAGGGAGGTGGAGTAAACAGAGGCTCCCCTGCTGTAAACTTCCTTCCCTCCGGCGTCTCAGGATTTTGTCAACACACTACTTCTTCTGACATCTTTTTACATTATTAACACCAATCCAACTCATTTTCTTTATTAAAAGTTAGAAAAGACACAATGTCTGGAAAATGCTCCCCTTGCTCCTGGTCTCTCAGGCAACCTGTTTCTCGGAGGCAAATATGACCTAGGGAGAGGGATGAGTAAGGTTAGTGATTCCAGAAGAGTTAATAGATGAAGGCTGCAGGGCTTGCCAGTTATCTCACCCCACCAAGCTCCTAGGCACAGACAGGCCAGGGTGATGAGAATTTAGCTAGTGTCATGCCGTTACGTGATCCGCTGTTAGGTGATAGGCATTAAAATGTTAGGATTCAAAGATCCTTCTGCCTTTACTCTTGCTGTGGAGAGAAGGAACTTTCTACCTCCGAAAAATGGAGGATTCTGGCTTGTCCTCAGCAAGGTGCAGCTCACACTTAGAGAACATGAAGGAGAATCGCCAGGGTAGACTCAGCCTGGAGAAATGAAGGTCCCTCCCACAGAACAGAGCCCTTCCAGTCTTTACACCTCCCTTCTTTGAGGACTGCCCCTCCCCCAGCCGGCATTTCCCCGACCTCCCCGTACCCCACACCCTCCACCCACACCCCGACCAGGCCTCTCGGCAGGAAGCTTGCAAGCTGGGCGTCGTTGCCCCGCCCTTCACAGTAGCTGCGAGACCACACGTTAAACTCACCCCAAAATTCAGTCCTTCTCCTCACCTCTGCCCTCCGCAAACTACTCCACACCCCTTCCGACGCCAGGGGAGAAGTCGTGCCTCCCTGGAGAAGAGTGGAGGCAGACGTGGTCAGGATTCTGTCCCCAAATCAGGTGCTGATGTCAGCGGAAACCCAGAAGAGCACAGAGAAAACGAAACTTGAATTCTTGGGGAAGCAGATCAGGAGGATAGACTCCACCAACCAATGGGAGGCCTCCGCATAGGACCCCCACCCCCCGCCCCGGGAAAGGACCGGCCGGGGATAGTGCTGCTGCCAAGGTGCTCCGTGTCTTACAACAAGGCAACGCGTCCTGCGGAGAAGGAGGCTTACCTGAGCAGTGTAATTGTACACACAACATCCGCCTTGCCATTTTCCCCCTACAAACAAGCCATCAGGAGGAGGGAATAAAATTTCTCCTTTCCCACAAGGAGGACCCACACTTGAGGCTGGGGCAACCCCAAGACTGGGCTTTCTGCTGTTCTATATCCACCTGCTGGGGTCCATGAATCTGTTCTGTGCGTGTCCTCATCGGTGTGTGAGAGGGCAGGACCGTGCAAATCTAGAGTTAACTCAGGTGGACAGTCAGGGGCTGTCACAGAGTGGTAGCACAGCGAAGCTGACCTTCAGAATTTGGATTCAATACGGACCAAAATGACACTTTTTCCAAAGCAGCTGGGAAGAGGGAGCTGTTTGAAGTGTCATGTTGGGTAAGGCATCGAGTACTATTCAGCATATAATGTCTATAATCTTAGCAGAATAAAAACGAAGCAGGAAAATAACTGTGAAGGTTAATGTTATGCATCAACTTGACTGGCCACGAGGTGTCCAGAGTAAACATTTCTGGGTCTGTCTGGGAAGCGGTTGCTTCTAGATGAGATTAGCATTCGAATCTGTAAGCTGTTAGGTTTTCTTCCCTGGTGTTATTGGGCAGTATTTAATATGTTGGGGGTCTGAGAAAAGGGGATTCATCTCTTCTTTGCTGCCTGCCGTCTGCTTGGGCTGGGATATAGGTCCTCTCCTGTCGTTGGACTGGAATTTACACCATTACCTACCCCAGTTCTCAAGCCTTTGGTCTCGGACTGAACTATCCCACCAGCTTTCCGGGGTCTCCACTTTGCAGACACAGATCCTGGAACTTCTCAGCCCCCATAACCGTGAGTCAGTCCTCATGGATAATAAATATCCTTCATGCTGGTTTTGTTTCTCTGGAGAACCCTAACTAACAACTCTAAAATTCTGTGTCAGGTGGTGCAGGTAAAGTGTGGTAATAACAATAATGAAACAGGTGAGCTGTGCAGTTTCAATGGATGCATGCCAGTGATATAGGAGAGCCAACCGTACAAGGAGGATGTCGTAAGCGTGATATTTAAAACTTTTTAGATATTTATTTATTTTTGAAGGAGACAGAGTGCATGCCCGTGCGCAAATGGGGGAGGGGCAGAGAGAGAGAGGGAGACACAGAAAGTGAAGCAGGCTCCAGGCTCTGAGCCATCAGCACAGAGCCCAATGCGGGGCTCGAACTCATGAGCCACGAGATCATGACCCGAGTGGAAGTTGAACATTTAACCGACTGAGCCACTCAGGTACCCCTGATAATGTTTAAAAAGTCAATTTTAAAACAAGGAAGGAAGGAAGGAAGGAAGGAAGGAAGGAAGGAAGGAAGGAAGGAAGAAGGAAGGAGGGGGGAGGGAGGAATAGGAGGAAATAAAGAAAGGGAGGAAAGAAAAAGAAAGAAAGAAAAAGGAGTTTTGCGGAGGATCTGCAGTCTGAATGCGTCAGGCTGGAGTGCAGCTGTCATTCACAGGAAGGGAATTAGTTAAAATAAACAAGCTTTCCTACTCTCTTTTCTCATGGACCTTAGGATCTTGTTATCATGCCCCTTCTTCTGATGTCCTGTCATATTATTAACACCAAGCAAGCATCTCATTTGTTTTATGAACAGTCATCAAGAGGCCCCTTATGGAAATCCCTCCTATGTGCTCCTCTGGCTGATGTGCCAGGTGAGCGCAGTTTCATGGTGGCAGAAATGGCCCAAGGAGAAGGATAAGCAAAGTTAGTGACTGTGTGTGTGTAAACTGCTGTAGATCTTAGAGTTTGAATTTGGAAAACTTGTAAGACTAGAAAACATCAAAAAAGCTGCAGAGTGACTGTCACACCGTTAAGGTTTCCAAACTCGGATACATGGTGCCAGGAATTTATGTGGAGAGTCCTGCAGAAATCCTACATGGTTAGGGGCACCTGGGTGGCTTAGTCGGTTAAGCGTCCGACTTTCGCGTAGGTCATGATCTCGCGGTTCGTGGGTTCAGCCCCACGTCGGGCTCTGTGCTGACTGCCAGCTCAGAGCCTGGAGCCTGTTTCAGTCTGTCACTCCCTCTCTCTCTGACCCTCCCCTGCTCACACTGTCTCTCTCTCCTAGAAATAAATAAAACATTAAAAAAAAAAAAAAAGAAATCCTACATGGTTAATACTACAGGCGTTAAATTGTTAAGCTTCAAAGAACTTTCTGACTTTCCCCTACTGTCTTGCTTAAAGTATCTTTTTCATCCCTGAGCACAGCCAAGCCTAGCTCTCTCCTCTGCTATGCTCAGTGTAGAACTGGTTCAGAGTCTTGGGCCGAGGCACATGGAGACACCATAAGCTCTTTATCTAGGGCTTCCTTTGCTCAAATTTCTCTTGAAGTCCTTGCTGAAACAATGATTACTCCTGGAGGTGAGGACTTAGTCACTATACCGTTAGAAAATGAATATGCAGGGGCACCTGGGTGGCTCAGTCAGTTGAGTGCCCGACTTTGACTCCAGTCATGATCTCACAGCTCATGGGCTTGAACCAGGCATTGGGCTCTGTGCTGACAGCTTAGGGCTGGAGCCTGCCTCAGATTCTGTGTGCCCTCTTTCTCTGACCCTCTCCCGCTTGTGCTCTGTCTCTGTCTCTCAAAATTAAATAAACATTAACAAATTAGGAGTGTCTGGGTGGCTCAGTTGGTTAGACATCAGACTTCAGCTCAGGTCATGATCTCATGGTCCTGGAGTTTGAGTCCTGCATCGGGCTCTGTGCTGATAGCTCAGAGCCTGAAGCCTGCTTTGGATTCGGTGTCTCTCTCTGCCCCTCCTCGGCTCATGCTCTCTCTCTCTCTCTCTCTCTCTATCAGAAATAAATAAACAGTAAAAAATTAAAAAGTAATTGAATATGCAGAAGTGCAAGGCAACAGAGAGAAATGCAGCAGGAAACCTAGTGTTATTACTGACATTATCAGTGGTAATAACCACCCCACCTCACACTGCACCCCAACTTCAAGTTTCATGAGGTCAGGTAGGGACTTACCCTGTTTTGTTGCCTTTTGCCTCACATTTATTAGAAGTCATTTCATATAAAGAGTAGATAGACGCACAGATATATAATTATAAAAATATTTTTAATTGAATGGAACATCTTGATAAATCATGCTTCTAGTCCACTGTTCTTGCTATGAACACAGTTGCTATCACATCAGACAATTCAGTTATCCTTCTGGTATCAATAACATATATGGGATTCCCCTTAGATCATTTTTTTAATTGAAGTATAATTGACATACACTATATTAGTTTAGATGTACAATATAATGATTCAACATTGGTACACAATGTGAAATGTTCACCACAATAAATCAAGTTCCTATATGTCACCATAAAGAATCAAGAAACAATTTTTTTCCTGTGATGAGAACTTTTAAGGTTTACTTTTGTAGCAACTTTCAAATTTGCAACACAGTATTATTTGCTATAATCATCAGGCTGTATGTTACATCCCCATGAGTTATTTTATAATTGCAAGTCCTTTACCTCTTGATCCCCTTCACCCATTTTGCAAACCCTCAAACTCCCACCTCTAACAACCACCAATCTGATCTCTGTATCTATGAGTTTTGTTTTATTTGCTTGTTTTGTTTTTCAGATTATACACATAAATGAAATCATATGATATTTATCTTTCTCTAAATTTACTTAGCATTACACCCTCAAGGCCCATCTGTGTTGTTGAATGGCAAGATTTTTATTCTTTTCTTATGGCTGAGTAGTATTCCATTGCATACAGATCTCACATCTTCTTTATCCATTCATCTGTTGATGGACTCTGGGGTTGTTTCCACATCTGATAAATTCTTAATTTTTCATACCTCCAGCTTTCTTCCTACGGTTTACTTGGATTGGTGTGTTATCTGTATCCACTTACCCACTGTAACCCTTGCTTTATTTACCCTTAGATTTTCTCAAATAGGAAAGTATTAAAAATCCATGGGCCAAAGGGGGAGATACTTCATTACATCCCTCTCCAAGCAGGAGATATAATGAGTGGAGGGGAAATACAGAGCCCTAATAAAGATTTCTTTTTCCTGGTAACTCAGAAGATGATAAACTGGAATGTGGAACAAACCCACATACTCTGCTCTGGTGAGAAAATATGTATGGTGAGAGAAGCATAGTAAATTCAGATGTTCTGCTTGCCCAAGTTTTTGGGTATCTTGACAGGACATGATTTCCCCACCGATTTCTCTCAGCTGCAAACCTAGGTTTCATAAGAGAGTCCTAAGATACTGACCATGGATATGGTGTCATTTCAGAGATTCAGAGGAAGAGGAGTAAAATAATGGATATTGGATCTGTGGAAGGATTGGCAAAGGAAGAAGTACTGGATAGAGAAGAGGTCTTTGGGTAAAGAAGCTCATTTCTTTTAAACACTGCAATCAATACCACTATGCTGCAGCCATCACTCAGACTCTGAGCTCTCCAATCCCCTCCAGTTTTAACCAGATATACCTAAAAACACATCGATTCTTAGTATGTCTGCATTAACCATCCTATCCATACCATCATCATTCCCTTTCTGAAATAGGTGGGAATGCAAAATGGTATAACCACTTTGAACAAAATCTGGCAGTTTGTATATAAAAAAAAACCCTAAAATTCAACAATTGAACTAATAGTTTAGGATATCCAGGGCAAGCAAAACTTGCTCTGTTTCCAAAAAAGAGGTATTTATTCTAACAAAACAGTACCCGTTACCTATACATCAACACTATGAACCTTGAACAATTGTAAAAGCAAAACAAAAAACATGAAGGCACTAGAGAGTGACAAAACACTTGAAATCTACAGTGTAAATGACAACGGGCAGAAGGGAATACTATTGGATGAGTTTCCTGGTTTTGTGGCTTTTTATTTGAAAGTAAACCTCAACTGGTAGTGAGTAAGACACTTAAAACTCAGCAACATGCAAACTTACTAGCTTGAAGAGGAGTAAGAATGATTTGGGGCTATCCCTGCAGCTGAAAAATGGTAAAAGAATGTCTATAAAAGAGAGATCCAGAGAAGGAAATCCCAAACTGTACATATACACTGAGCAACAATCAGAACTGCACATGTTTGAGACAGATAAATGAATTGACCAGAGATTTCACCTGCTGTAAAATGCAGGGGAGTATTTCGAATTTGAGTTCAACCAAGTTAACTGCCCGAAGAAAAAAATATTCTTCAGAAAAATTAACAGAATCCTGAGTCTTTACACTTCATTTACAACTCCCCTGGGGGAATTTTAGATACATATTAAAATTGTTTAACATACAAAGAAACTAGAAAACATGGTCCATACTCAAGAGCATAAGCAGTCAATGGAGATCAACTCCAAGATAATCCAGATGTCATATTTACAAGGATTTACAACAAAAAAAGACAAGGACTTCACAGCAGCCATGAAATCTAAAGTTAAGGTTATGAAAGAAAACATGCTTATAATAATGAGCAAATAGGAAATGTCAAAAGACAAATAAAAATAGTTTTGTTAATTGGAATACTAAAACTAAAGGCTATAATCACTCAAAAAATAATCTAGGATTGGCTTAAGAGAAATTCAGGATCACAAAAGAAAGACTAAGTGAACTTACAGGTAGATTAATGCAAATTATCCAATATGAAAATAATGAACAGAGCCTCAATAATCTGTGCGGGGGAAAAAAATCAAGGTACTGACATAGGCTTAAACTACAGAACAGCTACTAAAATACAACAAAACAAAACTATAAAGGTAGTTGAATTAAATGAGAAAAGGGTAAAAAGTGCATGTTTATTTTAACACATGCAGACAATCACTGCACAAAGACATTCTAGAATAAAAGAAGGAGTAAGGAAGGAAGAGGTGTTCAGAAGGGTGCAGATAAACTCAGGTGTAGATAAACCCAGGAGAAAGGGTGCTACATAGACTAAGAAGGTTCAGGAGCTCGGTGGGCACAGGGTCATGGGGCCTGGACAATTCAAAGGATTGAAATATGGATAAGCAGTCCTAGAAAAGCAACATTTAGAAAATTTGTAGATGAGTGATCCGTGGTTTGTGACATTGAAAAATGAGACAATGCCTGCTTCATAGTCTAGGAAAACCCCAATGCGATGGGGAGGGACAGTCATGCAAAGAGTCAAGACCTTGGGATCAGAGGTGGAAGAATCCTCAAAAACCTTATAACCATATTCATTCTGTAACCCAATAACCCAGTAGCCAAACTGAGGTTTGTATCTGGAGAAAATGTTTCGATGATTTGTGCCTCGTCTAACACCAAACTTTATATTACAGAAACGTGTTCTACAGTATACCCCTAGGATCCAAGCAGTTTTCTTGGACACGTCTATTTCCCAGTAGTGTTTCCCTGAGGAGAAATATTGGGAGCCCACGATACCATAATTATAATATTTAACAGGCCAAATTGGCACAGACATTACTTGTCTCTGATCTTCTGAAAGGACAAGGTTTAAATTTAAGTTGATTGGATTCAGCGTGATGTCCACTGTAGGGGAAAAAAAATTATAAGATCAGGAAAGAGAGACCATGGGAAGTGACCAGGTAAAGCTTGTATTATGGATTGGGGAAGGGGTAAAACACTATATATTTCATATATATGTACTAAAATATATAGAGAAATGTGTATTATATATGTATATATAATATATATAAACACATGGGGCTAAGATCATGAGATCTCTGAAATCACACACACACACACACACACACACACACAAATTTAAGTAAGCTTCACACCCAGCACAGAGCCCAACATGGGACTTGAACTCACAACCCTGAGATCAAGACCTGAGCACAGAGATTAAGAGCTGGACACTTAACTGACTGAGCCACCCAAATGCCCTGAAATCACAAATTTCTGAAAGGAGATCAGAACACAGGGATTTGAAGAACCAGTAACTTCTTACCCCAGTAGCACTGGACATGTGTTAACTCTGAAATGATAAGAGATTCAATGATGTTAATTAGAAGCGAATGATTAAGCACCAATACCTATCTCTTCTCCACAGTAGGGCCAGCAGAGGGGAGCACTTGGAGACTATAAACTGGTAAATGAGATAATGAACTAGACACCTAGCTATTCCGCCTTAGATATAACTGCATCTCCCTCAGCAATAATATCCCTCCTTCTCCGAATACCCTCCTCCTTTCTATCCTCTCTTTGAAACTGTACCAGGTTAGTCCCTGATATCACAGGGCTCCCATACCCACCCTCCTGTCCTGGTGCTCCTCACCTCTATGCATGTGCAGCATTGCCCTCAGATCTGGAGCACGGAATGAACTCTTCAGTCTTTTTGAAACAGTTTTTGGTTTCCTTACTGTCCAGATCTCACTCCTAGGCATGACAAAAAATGTTGTTCCGACATCTCTTACCTTGTATCCTAACAATACAACTGCCTTCCTCTCTCCTTCCATGCCACTGGTGCGCTTGAACCCTCCTCCCTCAGAAGCCTGACCTGGGGAGAAGGGAGAATCCTGATGCTGAAGCCAGAAGAAATGTGCTCATGTCTCCCTTCCCACTTGCCATCTGTGTGTCCTTGGGAAGGTCTTTACCTCAAAGAAACAGTTTCTTCTTCTAAAAATGGAATAATTAACACTTTTCTTGATATCTCATGGACATAATAGAAAATTCAATGAAATAATGTGTAGAAAAAGCCTTAGCTACCTCTAAAAAAGGTATACAATATGTGAGGAAGTCGTCACGGAGGCCATAGATGTGTGTTCCCAGGTAGATCAGTAGTGAGGCTGTGGATCCTACCTATGATGTGAGAGCCATAGTCTTCTTTTTGAGAGCCTGTGAACTTGTGACCTAGTCCAAAGCCTGAACCCCAGTGGTATCACTCACAAATAACATTGGAGGTTGCAGAGGTTCTGGAAAAAGTTTAAAACACTTGGCAAAGGAGAAGTTATGACCACCAAACTACAAGTGTTTGTAAGGAATTTAATGCTCTCAGGTGGGTTGGCAACTTAAGCCACAAGAAATACACTTTCCCATATAAGCTTCTAAAATTAATTATATGACCAAGGTCAAAGTCACTAATCCTGAGGCTCATGTTTGTTTTTGGAAATCTAAAGAGAATCTTGTAAGATAACCTACTCTTTTTTTTTTTTTAAATTTTTAATGTTTATTTATTTTTGAGAAAGAGAGACAGAGCATGAGTGGTGGGGGGGGGGGTGTTGCAGAGAGAGAGAGACACACACACAGAATCTGAAGCAGGCTCTAGGCTCTGAGCTGTCAGCACAGAGCCTGATGCAGGGCTCAAACCCACAAACCGTGAGATCATGACCAGAGCCGAAGTCAGACACTCAACCCACTGAGCTACCCAGGCACCCCAAATGACCTAATCTTTTATATTTCCATGTAAACAAAGTAACTACACAGGAGCTGCCCTTATAACCTATTTTAGGGCTTATGAAGCCCTCCATGTGATTGGACAAGCACCTGTAGAATACAGGAAGAAGAATAAGAACAAAGTGAAGTCACCGGACTCTGATAGTGAAATCCCTGATCCTTATTACCCTTACTGGCCCTACCTCTGTGAACTCCAGCCACTGAATTCACTAGCATTGAATCTTGTCTATTCTCAGTTGGATAAGGAACACTTAAGTCCTTGTCCATGACCAGCAATTTAAAATAATCCAAATTTCCCTGATTTGGAAGATTTTTCATTCTGATTGACCACCAGATCACTCTTATGGCTACAAACCTTTCTTCATAACACAAAAGGACCACTCCTGCTCACCCATACGCACCATTTCATGATTCCACTCATGTCCTAGGAAGAAGAGAGAAAACATGAGTCAAGGAGTATAAAGAGTAAAGCCGGATTAATGAAAGAAAGAATAGAAAAACACTAGAGAAAATCAGAGAAATCAAAAGTGAACTATTTAAAATATCAACAAAATTGACAAGTTTTTATGCAGACATACCACGAAAAAAGAAAAGAGAAGTTATGAAAATCAGGAATGAAAGGGAAGACATTACTGACTTTTACAAAAATTAGTAAGAATATAAAGGCTATGAACAATTGTATGTCAACAACTTAGATAATCTAGATGAAATAGACAAATTCCTAAAAACGCAGGAAACTACCAATACTGATTCAAGAAGAAATAGAAAATCTGAATAGAACTAAAACATGTAGTGATGAGTTTTGAAATGAAGAACTTCCTGCAAAGAAGTCATTGAACTTGATGGTTTCAATGGTGAACTCTGCTAAAAGTCTAAAGAAGAAATAATTAAAAAATACTTCACAAATTCTTCCAAAATAGAAAAGGAGGGAACAATTCCCAAATCCTTCTATGAGGCCAATACTATTCTGATACTAAAATGAGACCAACATCAGAATAAAACTGAACCAAAGGCCAGCATTTCTTATGAGTATAGATGTAAACTTCAACAAAATACTAAAAAACTGAATTCAGCAAAATATGGAAGATTATATATATATGATGGCCAGGTAGAATTAATCCCAGAAATGCAAAGTTGGTTTCACATTAAGAAACACAATTAATGTAATTCATTATATTAATAGAATAAAAGTAAATGCCACATGAATAGACACAAGAAAAAAAACACATTTGACAAAATGGGTACCATACAAGAATGTCTATTCTTGGGGCACCTGGGTGGCTCAGTCAGTTAAGCTTCCAACTTTGGCTCAGGTCATGATCTCACGGTTTGTGGGTTCGAGCCCTGCATCAGACTCTGTGCTGACAGCTAGCTCAGAGCCTGTAGCCTGCTTCAGATTCTGTGTCTCCCTCTCTCTCTGTCCCTCCCCCACTCATGCTCTGTCTCTCTTTGTCTTGAAAATAAATAAAACATTAAAAAAAATTTTTAAAAAGAACATCTACTCTTACTACTTCTATTTAAAGTGGGACACCTGGGTGGCTTAGTAAGCTGAGCACCTGATTCTTGACTTCAGCTTAAGTCAAGCTCTCACAGTTCATGGGATTGAGCCCCACATCAGGCTTTATGCTGACAGCATGGGATTCTCTCTGCCCCTCCCCCACTCTCAAAATAAATTTAAAGAAATTAAAAAAAAAAGCACTATGGTACCAGAGGTTCCAGTCAAGGCAATTCGCCAATAAAAATAAATAAAAAGCATTTATATTGGAAAGAAATAAAACTATCTCTATCTGCAGAATACATAGTTTATATATAGCAAAGCTCTGCTCCATACACTGCCGATAGGTAACCTTTTCCACTTCTTAAATTTCAGCTCACATGTAGGTACCGATGATCCCAAACTTTACATAATCTAATCATTGCCTATTGTCTATAATCATGTATACAGGATACTACATTACACAATGAAGAAGAAACAGGTACTAGAATCTCAGAATATCTAAAATATAACCTACTATTCACCAACTAATTGTCTTTTCTCTTATGTCCACTTGTCAAATATGGTACCAATATTCACCAAGTCCCTGTCCCAAACACTAAATCATCCTTGTAAGCCAATCCATTCTACATCCTTAATGTCTTTCGACTAATCTACATTTCCACATCATCACCACTATGGATTTGTTTTCAACAATACATACCAATATATTTGGCCTTACCCTTAGAGGCCACCAGCTGGGTTTACAATCAAACCCAAGGAATAGTTTTGCTTCTCTGTATTAGTATAGTTTGGTTGTACATGACAAGAAGCCAACTAACATTGCCTTAAAATCCTCCACCTCCTCAAATTAAAAAAAAAAAAAAAAAAAGTGGCCAGAGAGGTACTATTTCAGTCACCAATGGATCTTGAATCTCAAATGCTATCATGTATCTAGCCTTTCTCTGTCTCATAATTCTCTTTTCTTCTTTATCTGTGGACTTTATCCTCAGATTTTAACTGATAGCAACTTGAAAATCTCCTGGTTTAAATTCTTTTCACTGATACAATTCCCATGCAAAAAGACAATTTTCTTCACTGTGACAATACAATCTTACACCCCAAGCCATTGACCAAAATTGGGTCATATGTCCAACTGTATAGTTGTGGGAATATAGGAATTAGATAAGGTAATTTACATAAGATTCACCCATCCATCCTTGATAATGCTGATTTTCTCAGTCTCGAACAAGGAGATGTATAAAAATAGACATGCTGGTGTTTCATCAGAATGAAATTCCAGATGTTGTTATGAGAAAAAGGGGGAATGGATACTAAACAGATAAAATAATAGGTACCATCTTCACTCCATCATTTAACTGCCTATCAGCATTCATACATGTGTAATCCTACAAAAATTTCTAAAATGAAAATGACGCAATGTAATAACTATGACAAAAACATTAAGAACAGAAGTGCCTCCTTTCTTAAGGGAAAGAACCTAAAATCTCATCTAATTTTTCATCCATTTTCAAGTTTAGCATGTCTTTGTCAGCTCATTCTTCCCAGTCAGTGTTGAATGTAGCCCTGCAAACAACAGCCCCTCTAACAAACAAGAGACATATGGTAAAATTACCCATCCCAATAACTACAATGAAGAACCAGATAAAAGGAAAGCAATTATAAGAACTTTCAGGAGACAGAATTATGAAGGGACAGCACCACAATCAATAGCATATATCTTAACTTTTTGGAAAAGAATATCCAAATTCCCTAATCGAATAAGAGTGAGGTTCTTGGTTGGCCCACTTGTCATTCTTTGAAGATGTTATCTAAATATGGGATGCAGATCCAACAGAATTTATAATGTTTATCTACTGAGTATTGTTTTTATTACAAGTAAACAGATACTAACTTAAGCTGGCATAAGTGGAACAGATGCCTGGACAAGTAACATAAACACAATAGTTTTCATGAAGTTGGCAATTGAAAGAGTTGTGAAGAGCTTGTGGATGAATTATAAACAAGGGAAAAGGAATAAGCCTTTCACAAAGTTTTTGGTTTTACTCAGATATAATCAAAATACCATAAAATTCACCTTTTACAGTGCACTATTTAGTACATTTTTAATATATATGTTTACCATCACCACTATTTAATTTCAGAACATTTTCATTATTGTAAAAAGAAACTGTACATTCAGTAGCGATCATTTTATATTGCCCCCTCTTCAGAGCCCCTGGCAACTACTAACCTAATTTTTATGTCTATGATTTGTCAATTACAGACTTCATATAAACAGAATCCCACAATAGGGGACTTTTGTGTCTGCCTTCTTTCACTTATGTTTTCAAGGCTTATCCACACTGTAGCATCCATTAGTGCTTAATTTCTTTTTAGAGCCAAATAATTCCATTGTTTGGATATAACACATTTTGTTCGTGCATTCTTCACTTAATGGACAATTGGGTTGTTTCCACTTTTGAGCTATTATGAACAAGGCTGCCATGAATTTTTGTACACAGGTTTAGGTGTGGACATATGGTTTCATCTCTTAGGTGTGTACCTCGGAATGGAATCGCTGAGCCATACGGTAACTCTATCCGTAACTTTTTGAGGAACTGCCAAGCAGTTTTCCAAAGTAGCTTCACTATGTTACATCTTCACTAGCAAGTATGAGTGTTCCAATTTCTCCACATCTTTGTCAATCCTTGGTATTGTGGTTTTGATTTTACCTTTCCCTGATGGCTAATGATATCAATCTTTTCATATGCTTATTGGCTATATATATATATATACATATATTCTTTGGAGAAGTATCTATTCAAGCTCTTTATCCATTTTTGAATTGGGTTGTCTTTTTATTATTGAGTTGTTAGAGGTTTTTCATACATCATGAATACTAGGCCTTATCAGATATATGATTTGAAAACATTTTCTCCCATTCCGTGAGCTGTTTTTTTCACTTTCTACATAGTGTCCCTTAAAGCACAACAGTTTTTAATGTTGATGAACTCCAATTTATTTTATCTTCGGTTGCTTCTATTTTGCGTGCCATATCTGTGAAGCTATCGCCTAGAGCAAAGTCAAAAAGATTTATACCTATGCTTTCTCCCAAAAGTCTTAAAATTTTTGCCCTTACATTTAGATTGTTGATCTGCTTTGAGTTAATTTTTGTATATGGTGTGAAGTAGGAGTCTAACTTCATTTTTTTGTATGTGGATATTCTATTTCCCCAGCCTAATTTATTGAAAAGACTTACTGCAGTTTTTATCATAATTTGTTTGGTATTAATCACTTTGAGAACCTGGTAAAAAATTCAAAACCTATCTTACTACAATGGGCCTGAGGAGCTAAGGTTTTTTATAGCACTCTAGGTGATTCTGATAAAAAACAAAACAAAAAAAACCCAAAACAAAACCTAAGATGCAACAGCCAACACACGAAATTCAAATATCCTTCTTCTTGATATCAAGAATAAAACAAAAGAAGTGTTTGGAAATCCAGCAAAGGCAATAGATACATAGGAATTCAAGCAAAAAATATGAAAAGTCTGAAATTCCCTGAATGACCATCATATTTCATGCTCAGTATCATAGTTACACTAATAATGCTTCAAAAAAAAACTGTCTAAATTTTAACATTAGTTAATTGTTCCCTCGGGTCTCTATAGTTGCACCAGGGTAGCTCAGTCTGTTAAGCGTCAGACTCGTTATCGGCTCAGATCCTGATCTCTAGTGGTTTCCTGCTCCACGTCTGGATCTGAGTTGACAGCACAGAGCCTGCTTGGGATTCTTTCTCTCCTCTCTCTCTGTCCCTCCCCTGTTTGTGCTCTCTCTGTCTCTCTCAAAATAAATAAATACACCTTTTTTTTAATTAAAAAAAAAAAAGCGGGGTGCCTGCGTGGCTCAGTCAGTTAAGTGTCTGACTTCAGCTCAGGTCATGAACTCACCGCTCATGCGTTCGAGACTTTCATTGGGCCCTGTGCTGACAGCTCAGAGTCTGGAGCCTGCTTTGGATTCTGTGTCTCTCTCTCTCTTTGCCCCTCTCTTCTCACACTGTGTCTCTCTCTCAAAAATAAAAAAATAATAAAGATTTGCCCCAGCATGCTTTCCTGACACGAGCAACCTTTCCTGGTGCAGACACACTCACATACAGACTCACACCACTCAAGTATGTCACATTCTATACATATATATGTTTCTATGCATAAGAAAAGGGTCAGTGTTCTAACAAGAGAAGTTTGTGATAGTAAATACACATTTTTTAATGTAAAAAAAAGGATACACTTCTTAAACCTGAAAATGCATGCACTTGCCTGTGGCTAAGATGAATGAAAAAAACTTGACAAATGTCCAACACTAGATCAAAGATAAAAGGGGCCTAGAGGATATCTCTGGATACCATAGATCTTCTCTCCAAGGTCAAATGTATTCCCTTACTTCATAAAACAATAAAGTAGGATACTCTCCTGGAATGCTCATATTCAACTGTCTATGATATCTCCGACGGAGAAGGGCTCCAGAAGACCAAAGGAACCTTTTCTTGTCAACACCAAGATTAGAGCCCAAGGACACAGAAAAGAAGATAACTTAGACTGTGTTTGAAGAGTTCCAGATTGAGGGATTCTTCTTACCTGCACCAGGTCCACTGATGGCCATTCACTGCGAAGTTCCAGATCTGAGATAAGCTCTTTTACCAACTGGTTCTGCTGAGCCAAATCAGCCTCAGCCTCAGCCAAGTTATCCAGTATTCTCTTCTCCTCTTCTTCCAATGTTTGCAGTTCTCTCTGCTCTTCACTGTCCAGGATGCTTCTAAGCCAATTAAACCCTGTTCGTATCCTTTGTTTTTCTGCCAGTATCTGGTACTACAAGGTTGGACAAACAAGAGAGGTAAAGAGTCTATTAGCCTGAAAGCCTCCTGTGGAAGGGATTAGAAGCCAGTAAAAGAAATATCTTTTCATTGAGTTCTAACCGACAGGGGAATAAAGGCGCAGGGGCAATTTTTGAGAAAGCTGGTATATTTCCTGCTATGTTCCCTTTAGTACATGCCAAAACAGGCCTCAGACTATGTTGCCCTCAATTGCAACAGATACAGGACAAAAAGAACTAATCGAATGGCTTCCGGATGCATTCTAGGTCAGGGAACAAAGAGGAAGGGTCTTCCTTGTGATTTGGACTGAAGGTCCTGCCAAGATTCTTTTGTCAAAAACCTCTGAGTCTCCTCATACCTTCCAGGAAATTCTCTCCTCTCTGATGTCAGCTTCCAGCTTCTCAGCTTTCTGCTGCTCCGTCCTCAACCTCTCCAGAGCAGCCTGGAGCTTCTCCTATGAGAATAGAGTCACACCAGAGTCAACCTATGAGTTTTCTCAGCAAAGAATAAATGGGGACGAAATCAGGCTGATCTCGGAAGAGACCAGGTTACAGAAATTGTGATTAGAATCTATGATATGGGAGAATGGCTAAGGGGGATACATCCTTTATTCCTGGGTGACAGAAGTCACCGTTCCGCAACACTAATAGCCCAATACCCCCTTTTCATAAAAGATCGACTATGTTGTGGCAAGAAAACCCCTGTACTCTTACTGACACTCTTTCTACATCCAATCCACAAGGTTGAACAGCAACTATCCTGCTGAGGGGAACAATGAGTGCCAAGCTCATGAAAGGAATTTCCCATCCATATAACAAAAGGGGAAAAAGGTAAATCTCTCACTGGTGGCCAAGGGTCTAGGCTTTAGATTTTAGCCTTATTTTTTATGTCAGTGTAAGGAACACACAGAAATGTCCTTCAAACATTGGAAGCTCAGTGTAACGGAAGAGATAATAAGTGGAAGAGATTACAGGGCTTAATTCCTTGGTGCCAACATGAGTAAAGAAGGATGGAAGGGTGACATCTCCTGCCAAGTACCATCTTCTACCTCTCCCTCCATCCTGGGGCCCACCTGACATTCCTTGACGACTTCCTCCACGAGGAATGTGTGGTGACCACGGTGTTCCTGAGATCGTTCGCAGAGCCAACAAATGATCTTCCTGTCCTCCTTACAGAAGAGCAGGAGTTTCTCTCCATGGCACTCACAGAGCTCTCTCTTCAGCTCCCTTGGGTTCAACTTGACCTCTCTGATTTTCTCCACTATGTTAGTCAGATGCTTATTAGGCCATAAGTTTCTAAGCTAGTATCCGACACCACATACAGGACAGCTGCTTCCCCCTTCCAGGCTGATCTCCGCCTCCTTGGTGTTCGCAGTGATGCAGGCTTGACAGAAGCTGTGGCCACAGTCTAGACTCAGGGATTCTGTCAAAAGCTCCAGGCAGAGGGGACAGGACACCTCGTTCTGTATGTTCAAGATTTTTAAAGCCATAGTACGTCTCCCCTGTCTTCTTCCTGTCCTTAGTCCTGAGGCTCTTCTTGTTTAAAAGACTCCTGGATGGCTGGGCAGATTGAAAGGGGATGAGGGAAGAATGGCATGAATAAAAAAGAGTCTAATTTTGCAGACATTAAGGATGGGCCAAGACTAAAATACTGAGGACAAAAGAGAAGAGGGGAAAAACGAAGCAGAAATGAAACTCAGTAGCCTGGGCAAGCTGCTAATGCTTTGGGCTTCTGAATTTGCTTTTCTTTCCGCCTGAAACTGATCTCCCCTTAATATTTGCACGACTTCCTCTTAATACTTCATTCAACATCCTCTTTAAGTATCATCTCATCAGAAGGACCTAATATGATTACTTTATCTACAGCACAATTACCAATATATATATATTATCTGTTGTACATTTGCCATCTTTTTCTTATTATCACTATATAATATCTTTTACATAAATATCCTACTTCTAAAATGTCATCTGCACATAGATCCAACACTTTGTTTTTGTTCACTGCATATCCCTAGTGCCTAGAACACAGGAACATAACCTTTGATGAATATATAAGGAACCTCCTCATTTCTACATAGGTGATTAGAATTTTTCTTTTTTTGTTTTTTGGTTTTTTTGTTGTTTTGTTTTATCAGCACTTTGTCTTTTTGTTTCTTTAATTCTCTGTTCTCCAATAGGTAAACTTTGAGACCACAGACATGGTTTCAACATAAGAAGTGCTTATCTCCAAATATACCTGTCCCATTCAGAACCCCTCCATTCCCTCATATTCACTCCCAGAGACACTCACAGAAACAGCAAGGGCCACTATAGGGAAGGCATTTTACTACTTACAATTTTAGAACAATTTGTAAGCCACATGACCTATTTATTCTTTATACCAAAGTCCTTGAGAAATCAGAGTACTTTCTTTATCGAAATGTGTAAATTGAATGAAGTAGCTTATGAAGATTATTTCATCCAGTAAGTAGATTTGGGGTGCATACAACTCCTCAGAATCCTCTTTCAGAGGTCTGGAAGGTGTGATAAACTCTACCACCTAGAGGTGCAGGTTTTGGGAGAACTAATAATTTCCCAAATAGGAACATATCAAAGATATCGCCCCTTGCTTGAATAAGCAAAGGTTGACCCAAAAGGTGTGAGAAGGGATATGGAATGACAAAAAGGAAAAATATATTTTAGAGAGAAGTCATCTATATGAATGCCCTGTTGATGGAAAACACATCTACTGCTTTTAAAATGCCTATATGGCTTGGGGCCTGGGTGGCTCAGTCGGCTGGGTGTCTGACTCCTGATTTTGTCGCAGATCATGATATCAAGGTTCATGAGATTGAGCCCTGTGTCGGAATCTGCGCTGACAGCACAAAGCCTGCTTGGGATTCTTTTTTCTTTCTCTCTTTCGCTCTGTTCTTCTCCCGCTCAGCTCACGGGTCTCTCAAAATAAACAAATAAACTTAAAAAAAATTGGGGCCTGGGTGGCTCAGTCGGTTAAGCATCCAACTTTGGCTCAGGTCATGACCTCACAGTTTGTGAGTTCAAGCCCTGCATCGAACTCTGTGCTGTCAGCTCAGAGCCTGGAGCCTGCTTCGGATTGTGTGTGTGTGTGTGTGTGTGTGTGTGTGTGTGTGCCCCTCCCCTGCTCGTGCTCTCTGTCTCTCAAAAATAAAATAAACCCTTAAAAATGAAAAAAAAAGTTGCTAAAAGTGTTTCCTTCAAGTTAGTCCCACCATTTTCACCGCCACTATCTTAGCAGGAGCCACCTGTGTCTCCTGCCTGGATTCTGGGAAATGACTCTCTCTAAACTATCACTGCTTGCCCTTCTGCAGTGTGCTGCCATTGCTATTCTTACGTCCCTGACTAGAGTGCCCCTCAAAGCAGACACCAGTCTTGTCATCCTTCTGTTCAAACGCATGCTGTCCAACGTCAGCGGGTCACCATTATGTTCTAGGTAAGGCCACCTTAGACACCTCCTCCTCCTGCCTCTTCCTAAGGCCACCTCCTTCTCTTCCCACTGCATTCTCCATCCCAGCTCTCACTGGCCTCCTTGCAATCTCAGGAGGAAACCCATGCTAAAGACTTAAAATCCCTCACATTCTTCAGATTCTACTAAAATATCTCCTCAGAATGAGGCCTTCATGAAAACAACTTATATTTGCAAGGCCTTTACCAGGTCACTACATTTGACACTTAAAAGCTGTTCCCCAGTGATATTAGTCACCTTCTTGTGTACATATCAGTTATTTGTTTGTTTACAATCTCTCCCCAACTAGACCTTAAGTTCTTATATGTATTTACCTTTTACTGCATGTTGAATGCATATTCATTGCACTTTTTTTTTTAAACAACAGCAGCTTTAGTTCCTATGAATTGTTTAAATGAATAAATAAATCTATTTCATCCTATATCCTGGGCCTTGTTTTGGACCTGGGAGGTGGGGTGGGGGGGGCGGTGGCGGCAATCAGTGTCTGGGCAGAAACAGACCCTCTCCAGGAGTAAAGTGTAGGCACCCAGGAAGATTGTCACTGTGACTCCTGGAAAGTGGAAATACAGGACAGAACGGGCACACATCAGAGGTGTGTAACAAATTCATCAATGTGAAAACTGCTCACATTGTGAGCTCAAGGTAGGACATGGTCACTAGCAGTCACAGAGCAAATTTCTTAGCAAGACCATTTGATCTCTGGGCTCCTTGTGAGCAATAATCAGTGCCTGTTAATTAGCTCTGAGCAAAGAAAAATAGTGAGAACTGAGGTAACCGTGCAAAGGTGTGTCTCCAGAGGAAGGAGGAGGAAGAAAGAACTCTCTGTCAGGCAAGGACGCGGTGGCAGTGGGCTGCTGGAAGGAAGTGTATGCACCGTTCTTCAGGGAAGCGTCAGGAGACTCCTGAGACTGAACTTGAAAGGACACGGGATAAAAGGGCCCACGGAAGGCCAGCTGCTGAGATGTCAGGAAGGCTACAGATGGCCCGGCAGCTGGTTCTCCGGGGAGGAGCAAGAGAATCCTCCTCTTCAATATCATCCCTGCCGTGCCCCCAAACTCTATTCTGTCTCCTGCCCCACTCACTCTAGGAGCTTAGGTTTTTACACATTTGGAAAACAGGGACCTCTTTTGCCAGCTTTTCTTCAAGGACGTAGTGGTGGGGAAAGAAGACACATTCTATTCACCTTGGAGAAAGAGAGAGAGAAAGGATTCCAGTTCTCCTCAGCAAGGTAGACAATTAAAACCATGGAATAGGAAAGGGATGAGGATGGGCGCAGCCCAGAGAAAGAAGGGCCCCCCTCCAGGAAAGAAACAATGCCCTCCACGTCTTGGGCACTCTTCTCTCCAAGCCATCCATCTCCAGAATCAAGACTTCCGCCTGTCTGCACCCTGGGCAGGAAGCCTGCAGACGGGCTTTTCTTCCCTTCAGAGCAAGTCTGAGCCACAAATGGCACTCACACACTTTTGTGCAGTACCTTCCTTCTGGCGTCTCCCACCCTCTGCCCCCCAAACCTCCCCACGCACCTTGAGGCCCCAGCGGAGAAGTCTCGACTCCTAATTTTAGTGGCGAAGAAAAGCCAGGGCAGGCGTTGTCAGCATATACTGACTGAACAGGCGAACAGGGAACAGACGCTGGGCCTGCATGAAGCAGCTCTCCTGACCAGCCGGCTGAGAAGTGAAAGTGAAACCTCGGGGCCGCAGGAAAAGGGAAGGGGAAGGAACTTCTGAGCCCAAGGGGTTACAGTCCTGTAAGGTCACAGGACATTTCCCCATTTCACTGTGGGGGAAATGTTTGAACTCAAGGTTTCTCTAGTGGGGGAGTCGGGGTTTGCCCCAAGGGACATTTAGCAAGATCGGACAAATTTGGTTGTCATACCTGGGGGATGCTACTGCCACCTAGTGGGGAGAGGCCAGAGGCACCGCTAGCGACTCTGCAACGCACCGAACAGTGCCCATAGCAAAGAAACATCCAGTCCAAAATGTCCAGTGTGAGGCCGAGAGTCTGTTTTAACCCTCTCTGCTTCCGCGCCAGCTAGGCACCAAGGGTCTCCTCCCACTTGTATGGTTGTGCACAGGCCCTCGATTCGGCCTCTCAACCTGAATTATCCCCTTGGGTCTCATGTTCCATTTGCCCCCAAAGACACACCACCACCTCCGAGGAAATACACGGGAGCTGGTCAGACGAGGGATGGAGGGGTCTGGAGGAGTTGGCTACAAACGACCAAAAGAGCTTTCTGGAACATTGGAAATTCTCTAAAGTCTGTTTGTGTAGTAGTCACACAGGTGTAAACCTGTCAAAACTAATTAAACTGCATATTCTAAAAAGGTGTATATTATACCCATACCACAACATTGATTATAAAAGAAAATTATGTTTTCTGGGTGACTTTTTTTTACTTTTTATTTTAATTCATGTTAGTTGACATACAGTGTAATATTAGTTTCAGGTGTACAATATAGTGGCTCAACAACATCATATACAACAAGTGTACTCCTTAATCTCCATCACCCATTTAACCCATCCCCACACCCACTTTGTTTTTTTTTTTTTCCCATTTTCTAATTTCTGTATTTGCCATTTTCCTTTCAAAAGAATCTGAAATAAAATAGGCTTCACTATGCCATCATCATCTTGACTCATGGCCTTCACTACAATTATCACAGTGAATTTATGCCCAGATGACAGACCTCTCTGACAGTGTAATATTTGGGGTGATGCACGGAGGGTTTTTTTTGTTTTGTTTTTTTTTTTTTACAAATAGTTTATTGTCAAATTAGTTTCTACATAACACTCAGTGCTCATCCCCAAAGTGCCCTCCTTCATGCCCATCCCCCCCTCCCCCCCACATCCATCAGTCCTCAGTTTTTGTCAGCATTCAAGAGTCTCTCATGGTTTGCCTCTCTCCCTTTCCCCCACCATTTCCGCCCTTCTTCTCCCCCTTGGTCCTCCGTCAAGTTCCTCCTAATCCTCCTATACGTGCAAACATATGATATTTGTCCTTCTCTGCCTGACTTACTTCGCTCAGCATAACACCCTCAAGGTCCATCCATGTTGCTACACATGGCCAGATTTCATTGTTTCTCATTGCCATGTAGTATTCCATGGTATAGATAAACCACATCTTCTTGATCCATTCATCTGTTGATGGACACTTAGGCTCTTTCCATGTTTTAGCTATTGTGGAGAGTGCTGCTATGAACATTGGGGTATATGTGCTCCTATGCATCAGCATTTCTGTATCCCTTGGGTAAATTCCTAGCAGTGCTATTGCTGGGTCATAAGGGAGTTCTATTGTTAGTTTCCTGAGGAACCTCCACACTGTTTTCCAGAGGGGCTGTACCAGTTTACATTCCCACCAACAGTGCAGGAGGGTGCCCGTTTCTCCACATCCTCGCCAGCATCTCGAGTTCTCTGATTTGCTCATTTTAGCCACTCTGACTGGCGTGAGGTGGTATCTCAGTGTGGTTTTGATTTGTATTTCCCTGATCCCCACACCCACTTTGGATGGAAGGACAAGCAAGTTTGGGGTGTTTGAGAATCTACAAATAGTGTCATGGGACTGTACTTGGAGCTCTAGGTAAGCAGAAGAGAGGCCACAAGACATGGACAAGCATCACATCATCAAGATTCATTTCCACAGGCAGGGAGAGAACTGGGGATTCTGGAGGAGGGTGACAGCCACTGCCTAGATCCCAGTGCAGGAGTAAAGTGTCAGCTTACCCAGATCTCTGGCTTTCCTCTCATTGTGCCCACAGTACCCACACTGTCCCATGGCAGGGCCCAGCAGAGCTCTCTGCTCCGTGAGCTTGCACTTGCACTTGGCAGAAGGAACTCCGAACTGGGTCTCCACAAACACCACACGCATAAGGCCCAATGCAGATGGAGGATAATTGTGTACATGTTGCAATTTTTATTTTCTTATAAAGCTTTTCTGTTTTTTTAAAAAATATTAGGCGTTTTTATTTTTCATGGAATTCTAAAGCTTATTAGTATAGAATTATTTTTTTTTACTATTTTTAATTACCTGTAATGAACTACTTTCATCTACAGTTTCATTAGTTTGTGTTCCCTTTTGCCTTATTGGTTTGTGTATAATGATCACCTAATTCTTGCTACTGAAATTTAGTTTCATATATTTTATATGCTAGTAGACTCTTTCTGAAAGCAAATTTCCCTGGATGAGGGAAGATGGCAGTTTGGAGACAGGAAGGGATTGGGACAGCTCTCTAAAACTGGAGTCCTTGGGGCACCTGCGTGGCTCAGTTGGTTAAGTGGCTGGCCGACTTCTGCTCAAGTCATGACCTTGCAGTTCTTGAGTTTGAGCCCAGCATGGGACTCTGTGCTGACAGCTCAGATCCTGGAGCCTGCTTCAGATTGTGTTTCTATCTTTCTCTCCCCTTTCTCCACTTGTGCTGTCTCTCTCTCTCTCAAAATAAATAAACATTAAAAAAATTAAAACAGAGGACTGTGTGCTGCTGCATTTGCCTCCACTTATGATACCAGCCAGTGGTCCTTTGAGAGTGAATGACTCAGAAGGGAAGGGGCAGGAGATAGGACACTGCTGACACCAACCAGCAGTGTCCTATGTCCTGTCAGCACCGTACAGACTCCCGGACTCCCAGATCCCAGCTCCAGCCCATCAGTCAGAGGAGGAGACATTTCAAAACATTTGATTCATCAGTGCCAAGTGGCACATTCGCCAAAAGAAGAGTGAAATCCGAGGTTTCTGAGAATATGTGAGGGGCCACAGATACAGCCTGCAAAGTGTGATCTGGTTGCTTTAGCTTTCCTATAACACAGTAGAAAGGTGCTCAGGGGAGCCTGGGTGGCTCAGTCGCTTAAGCATCTGACTTCAGCTCAGATCACAATCTTGTGATTTGTGAGTTCCAGCCCTGCGTCAGGCTCTGAGCTGTCAGATTCAGATCTGTCTCCCTCTCTCTCTGCCCCTCTGCTGCTTGCACTGTCTCAATCTGTCTCTCAAAAATAGATAAACATTTTAAAAAAGGTACTCATATCCCACATTAAATATAAATATTCTAAAATTGTCTGAGTGTGTTCAAGATGACCACTTGGCCTAACAGCATTTCTGGTAGAAATATAATTAACACTTATTTATGTACTATGAGGTGTCCCCCTCTCCCCAACCAAACACCTTGAAGGCAATTATGACCATTGTTCTTAAGTCTTCAATAGTCTCAAGAATAACCTAAAGCATTTAGGAGATAGTACCTTATCTGTAGGGTCTCAGTTACAAAGCAACCCTAAGAGAAAAACAATTCCTCTTTCCTACCTAAGGGGAACTAGATAAGTCACCTGCACTGGGTGGTGCTTGGCCTGGTAGAGGCACTACAGAGAGGGAAAGGTTGAAAGTGCTGAGATTAACAAAACCAAAATAGATCTGGGGTGGAGTCAGGATCAAGAGATTGCCCAGCATCATCCAAAGATGAAATGGAAAAATCACTAGAAACTCACACAATTGAGTGCAGATCTTATGTTTATTCTGGTGAGGATCTCAGGTCCCCAGGGTTGAAAACCTGATCGCCATTTGGTGACAGTTCTAGATACTACTGCTTGCTCATTGTCCATGGACTGTCCTGCAGATTGAAGGTTCCTTATGCCCTGACATTCTCCTGAGCCCGCCCAAACTTTCAATGTAGACCCCACATCCTTAGTTATGATCCAGCAGTCTTAAGGTCCCAGAAATAAAAGATGGCTGTATTACCACATACCCCTTCATAGGTGATGGGAGAAAGCCCTAGAATGGATTCCTGGATGGTGAGAATTCACACTTGGTATCCAGTGGATTTTGTATTTTGAATTCAGATCCCTTCTCTGGTCTTTCCTTGAAAATGAAAATTTTGGAGGCAGCTCACAGACTTATGTCTTGTCAGCAGAGGGCACTGTTTCTTGGGCCAGGAAGCTCTGTGAAAAGATCATGGCCCTTAGCCTGGAGATCTCTTTGTTCAGGTTTGCTAGCAAGTTCTTTTTTTTTTTCTTCTTCTTTTCTTTTTTTTTTTTTTTCTTCCCCTTCGCTTTCCATAACCACTTCTCATCTTGAACTGGGGGCCTGGGAATTTCAGGGAATGAAAGACCTGAATATCCCTGGAGAGTTATCTGTGAATAATTCGAAAAGAGTGCAGGATGTTCCTGTGAGCCAGAGCCTCACTGTAGCAATAGGTTGGCTGGTATGTGGGGGTCTAAAGGAAATCGACAGAAGCGGATTTCTGCCAGTTTCCACGGATGAGTGCTCGAGATAAGGGTGTGTGTCCACACTCAGAAAGACTGAATGTGTCTGATTTGATATCCTTTCCCTCACCAAAAGTCAGCAGGAGATGGAGGGGTTGAAAAATCCCTGGCAAAGAAGGGAACCGAGCAGAAACTGCTTGGCCAAACAGACCATTAATTCTGTTTGCCTCAGTTCAGAAGTTGGTAAGGGATAGTTGTCAATGAAAATGCCAAAGACGTGTGGATATTACCAACTATGGCCATACCATTTAACTTTCTCTGTCACTGGAGACTCAGAACAGGCCTTTCTTCATTCCTGACAGTAAAGAGTGAGGTGCGCCATACCACTGCTGAGGGCACCAGTCCGCCGCAGCACGGGACTTCCTCTGTCACTGTAAGTCCTAATGTGAATAAGAAAACTGAAAAGTGGAGACTTAGCTGGGCAGAGAGAGAATAACGTTTGTAGTGAAACATAA